AGAGAGTTAGTGTAAGTAATTTATTACTAATTCAATTATAAAGACCTTAAGATTTATAAATATATATATATATTTATATAAATAAAAATTAATCAAGTAAGTAATCGCTTTTTTTGATGGTATTCCATAACTCAAGAACGAGTACACCGAATTGGATGATCCTTTTTTGTTGTGTCCCTTAGTGCCAGGAGAAGGTTTTTATATAAGAAATTTATAATGCATCCAAACATTATTTAGTAATTTGATTTTGAAAATTAAAAAAAATTGCCTTTACATTAGCTCACTCACTTCAACCTGGAGGCGATTGAGCATAGCGAACGAGCTCATCTTGAAAATGACGAGCATTTGACATAAAACCACATTAGGACAGGGCGACGTCTGTCGGGCCAGCTAATATTAAATATTTTATTTTAAAGACATTTTTAGGAATATTGGAATAAAGACCTTAACCATACACGTACTTCATTCAGAAAATACACTGAGTACATTGAACAATATTATGGGTAAATGTTTGTCAAAATGATGTATTATTTATTTACTAAATGCAATAATCCTAGGTACAGATATTTTATACAGAATAACAGATTACAGAATAATAATTAGAATAATAATTAATAATTAGAATAATAATTAACAATTACAGAATAATATGGTCTACCGGTAGGTATATAACATTCATGCAATCAAAATTCTAGCTTGCATCACTGTTCTATTTATTGATACAATTGTTGAGTAGACATGTATGATCATAAAGATAAAGGTGAAACATAGATATATTAGATAAGAGACATTTTATCATCAAAGCCGATTGTATAACAGACCTCTAAATTAATTTAATATATTGAGATAAGAATGCCCATTACCTATATTTGATTAAATAACTTCTTGATCAGCATCTTACGTGTTATTAAATTTACGGAAAGTAAATGAAAGATACGTCCTATAACACTTAAAACATATATTTACGCTTATACTGTTACTCACAAGACTGTAAATATACAAGAAAGATGGCAAGTGGTGATCGATTTTGATTGGACACTCCAATCATCATCAGACCAGATTGGGCAACAGATGATTGATGATCACAGATTGGGTCTGAGGATGATTGGAATGTCCAATCGAAATTGATCACCACTTACCATCTTTTTTTATATATTAACCGTCTTGAGAGTAACAGTATAAGCGTAAATATATGTTTTAAGTGTTATAAGACGTATCTTTCATTTACTTTTCTATATTTTATTGATAAGGTAAATCTGATCAAAGAGTTAGTATTGTTACAAACATAACAAGATTATGTAGTTAATTAATGACTTTACAAACTGAATTACAAAAGAATTAAATAAAAGTGTTTTGTGTCAATAAAAATTCTAACTCTAATGGGATGCAATAAATAGTATACTGTCTTGAATGATAATTCTTAACATTGGTTTATAAAAAAAAAGTAGTTACAGTTTAACATAAATATTTACTAACCACATTAATAATCACATATTACACTAATTCCCCAAACTAAATAATCATCAATAATTATTAGAAGTAGGCCTAGTAAAGTTATTAGGAAGTTAGTAAACATTAACATCGGACATTTGTTAAAACTACAATCTCTACACTCAACTGGTAGTACCATTAACATTTTCCATTTATATTATTTTGTTCTATTATTAATATCACATAATGCATGAGTGGTAATATATACCTATATGTTGTGTCTAAATATTATATTATATATTTAAGGCTGGTATATATTTTAAGGCAAAGGGGAATGAAGGACGAGCTTTGAATTAATTATATAATGCTAACAAATAGGCACGGGCCTAGGGGCACAACAGGCTGTAGGTTTGTTGGGGGCTCAAGGTAGAAAAATTTTCCCTCAAGGTAGGTGAAGAGGGGAGCATCATATGCAAAGCACCAGCCTGACGCTAAATCATGTCCAAATTAGCCTACAGTAAAATATTATATAATTTCCTGATTAGCATCAAGTCCTCTTTTGATGGACCTACTTTTGATTGAATGCATAAAAGATAAGACTAAAATAACACACAAAATATTAAACAAACCTAGTATTAAATTATATTTACTTAAGCTTATAATTTCAATGATTTAACAAAAGGAACATAGGATCACGTTAAAGGAATCTTCCACAATAGAAATTGAAATTGCTCTAAAGATTATTTTCTGCTAAAAGGAACTTATAAGATCAAATAAATAGCAGCTTAAACTGGAACTGAATAGGCCTACTATTCACAACTTAAGGCTTGTCACACACTGCGTCCGGTCCGGTAAAATGGGATCAGGCATGCCGGAATAGGTAAATTCGAAAAACATTAATTTAAATGGAAGTCCCCACACTGCATCCAGTCCGGTGCGTCAGGTACGGTCCGGTAAAATTATTTCAGATGAGAAGCGATAGGCTTCAGGAAAGCTTCTGGCGGCGGAGAGCTCGCGCATGCACAGACAACCACATGACCACATGACTCACCACATGACAGTGACAGTAGGCACTGACAGTAGCAGCAGACGTGGTTTTCTATTGATTGTTTACGCTGTACGCTTTGTTACAAAATGAAGTTCCATAAATTTCTCGAAACTCATCCGAAAATACTGAAACAAACATTTTGCTGTCCTCAATCAAATGTGAGAACAAGGTATGAAATCTCCCTAATTTATTCTACTTGCGTTTATACTGTGCACCCTTCTTGTTGATTAAACACACTCACAGTACCGCTGTCCTCGCATAGACTGGTTGCCTGAACTGGAACGCCTGATGCAGTGTGTGGAAATTTTCCGGAACCGGCGAAAAACACTGGATCAGAATTAACGGGGCCGGATGCAGTTTATGACGAGCCTAACTTTATATTCTTTAGACAAATTGCATGACCATTCTCTTGCTTAGACTACAGACTAGACACTTCAGAATATGTTGAATGATGTTAGTTTTTACAAGGATTAAATTATTTTTGTTAAAATCAAGGATTACCTGAGTCGTAAAGAGTGCATCTTTGCACTATACTGTTAAAAGACTTTACACTTTACTGAACAATTTGAATATATCACTGCCTTTGACAGCTTTTTCAACCAAGAAATGTTTGAGTTTAAAAGAAAGATTAGTTTTGATAGCAGCCTGTTACCCATAAAATCCTTATAATCTAGACCCTTGGACCCTACGTGCATCATTTGCTAAACTATTTTGATGTTAGGGATAATAAAATTTACTCATAAACCCAGCAGCCATCCTTAAGTTTTGGATACTTCCCATGTTTTTTAGCACAATGAACTCTTACGGCAATTGGTGATCGACCTTTGAAATCACAAAAGATGCAATGGTGTTTCTTGCATATGCTTCGTTTATGGCGCAAATAGGAGTTTTCCGAATCAAAACTCTCTCCACACTCATCACACTTGTATCTTTGAGACTTGTGATCTAAACAAATTTGAGTTGGCCTATCAGTAGCTTTAGACTTTAGGCAGTGATGTTTCTTGTGAGATTTGGAGGAATTGAATAGTTTGTTACACACAGAGCACTTGTACTTATCCTCTTCAATATAATTTAAGACTTTTCTTCCTGTTGTTTGCATTTCACTATGAGTTTGTGTGGAATCAACCGTTGCAACATTTCCACTATAAACTTCATTAGCTAATTTATTCTGTGTATCATAGTTTTCGGCGACTGTTGAACTACCTTGTGATCCTTCTGAACAAGTTGATTCGTTTGGTGCTATTTGTTCAGTATTATTGTCATTAGACATATCTTCATCGGTTGTAAATGTTACTAACTCTTCAATCAAGTCTCTTAGAGGTTTGGCACAAAGGTATTTTTGACTACATTCTCCGGCGTCTGACAAATTAGGTTTTTCGCTCTGCAAACTAAAGTCTTCTTGATTTCCTTGTAGGGTTTTTGTGTTGGATTCTGTTTGAGTCTTTGAAGGTGTGTTAAGAGGTATTTTAATATGTTTGCCCTCTTCCTGTTGAAGTTTAAATTTCTCATCATAAATTGGTACCAATAGTATTCCTTCCGATACTTTTCCGACAATTTGTTGGACAGAGAGTTTGTCTGGATACTTTTTCTTACCTGAAATAAGAAAAGACTGAAGTTTAAGTTGAAAGACTAATAAAAGCAGTCATGTAAGTAATGCAATTTATTGAGAATAGAAAAAAATCTGTTAAATTGTAAGTTTTATGCCACATTGGTCATATGAATATGATGGTTATTAACTGTTAACTAAGTTTAATGTAATTTAAATATGTAATACTTTCCATTTTAGTTTAGTACCAATGTGTTAAATGCAGTTTATTTTTATATACACTAATTTCAAGTTAGTTAAAATTTGATCTTGAATCAATGTCAAAAATTTGTATCACTAGATACGAATTCAGCTATTTCATTTTGAGATTATTTCACTCAAGGTTATTAGTTATTTTTCTAACAGTTGTTGACAGAAAGTTATAGATAAACAATTTGTTTCCACAGATAGGGAATTCTGGGTGTTTTAGTTATTACATATACATACCGTACTCAATTGGTTTAAAAATAAATTTTTCGAAGAGCAAAGCGTGGAAATAGTTAAACTAAAATTAAAAAATATTTTTCATGAAAACGTGATCTTTCAAACTTACTAAATTCTTCTATTTTTCATTATCCAGAAAGACCTGCATTCTTTACAATAATATTATATTGATTGTGAATTAAATGATATTTAATAATAATTAATTGTTTGTTCAATAAACAAAACCATTACCTAACAGTATGGAATCTTAAGAGTTTTAGATTGTTAGGGAGTAGGATTTTTCCTCTTTCTGTAAAACCTATCAGGATCAGACACTAATTGTTTCTAAAAGGCATTTAATTAAGTAATAAAATAGCTGAACAACAATTATGTAAAAATACAAAAATTAAAACAAGAAAGAGTTTTTATGAAAACTGTAGCATAAATTTCAAATACAATAACACATAATTAAAGCGGAGTTAGGTTTTTGTGAAAGGAAAACTCATGTTTTAATGAAAAAGTTATAATCACTTTTCAAATAGCTAAAGGATTAATTAAATATATTAATACCTTATACCTAAATCTCTAAAATTACTAACTTATCTAGGCTACTACTGAAAATATCCAAAACCATAATAAATAATAATGTTCCATGAAAAATATAAAAAGCCGATCTTAGATACAAAGAATTAAGCTAGTACTAGATCAAATATTTACAACTAACCTGATCTAAGATAACCACACATTTTCAAGTAAGCATAAAATTTGCAAGTTACTTACTCTACATACAACTTTTAGTCATAATTAAATAATAACATATGATACTGAGTGGTTAGTACCGTAGATTGCTTTAATTATTTAGGTTGATGATTTAATTTCAAGAAGAAACCCCTCTGAACCAAGTTGCAAGAAATATGGATGATATTTTTTATTATTATTTATATTACAATAGATGGGCATTTTTAAGATGAGAATTCAAACAGCTATCTTATTTACAACTTTTAATACCCCCTCCCCCCAGGCATTCAACCAAACACAAGTACAGAAAATAAAATACGTTTTAAAACAAGACATAAACAAATTAACGAAAATAAATGCTACAAAATAATTATATGGAGTACCATATACTATTTAAATCCACAGTGATAGTAAAAAATGTATCAATTGTAATATAAACAAAAGGCCTTGACCTACAATAGAATCTTGATTATTTAACCTGAACTAGCTGCAGCAAGATAGGTTAAGTGGCAAGGACAGACAATACGGTCAGACATTTTGAAATTTGTTGAAAAGTTACTTGGATACTTGGAGTGTATCGCATCAGCGACGTGGTCGTAAGGTTTTATACTTTTCTTGCTATTAATGTATGTATGGATTCATTTCGTCTTCAGGGATTCACATGGCCTGGACATATATTTTATTAACACTGTAGTAGGCCGCTTGACTTAAATCTGTTTTTAGCAGGTGAAATTGTTGATAGAAGGCTCTTGCATGATGTACTGAGGCAATTTATTGTAAATTTTTATATTATTGAAGTAAGGGCTCTTGCTTGCAATTGTGGATTTTACTTGAGGTACATGTGGATTTGTTGCTTTTCTTGTATTTTAATTGTGGACCATGCTGTTAGTTACAAAAATATTGGGATTCTTCTTAAAACGAGCAATGCGGATTCCAATATAAAGAGAGACGGAAGTGTGAGAATGTTTAGTTCTTGAAACAGAGGTTTACAGTGTGTCCATCTAAGGACTCAGTTAACCGAAGATCGGATAATCAAGACTCTACTGTAGTTGGCATTATTTGAATATTTATAATCCCAGAAACCTAACTATCTGTGATTTTGACCAATGCTTAACACATTTTTCATGTGTAAGTGTCAAATAAATATGATCTAATCTTGTAAAATAAATACACATTCTGTTTTATGAGTTTTAATAGATCCAAGTGCCATCTTCATTCAAACGCGGAATTATCTTGTGCTGATTCATCATATGAACTCTGACGGCAGTTGGGCTTCGTCCTACATATTCACAATACAAACACTTCTTCATCTGGTTTCCACACTTTATTTTGTGGGTGTTTACAGACTGTTTCGATTTGCAAGTTTTGTTGCAATTCTTACACGCCCACTGATTGTTTACTTCATCAAAAGTAAACAATCTGGCAACACTTTCTTCGAGAGGAGGAATTTTTGACCTCTTAGATGTTTTGCTTTTACCATCACCTTTCTGCTTACTTTGACGGGGTGTTTGGATGTTCTGAGATTTTCCACATTGATGAGTGTGAATAACAATGCTTTGTTTTTTTGTGTAGTTTTTACCACATTTTTTACAAGTATATTTGTTTGTTTCACTGTCAAACTTGTAATCGTCTGTGTTTAAGCTTCCTGATTTTCTTCCCTTTTTTTTGGGAACAAGAGTGAAGGACTGGCTTACTTCTATAGCACTTTGGTCGATTGTTGTTAATTCTTCTTTTGGAACAAGAGTGAAGGACTGGCTTACTTCTATAGCACTTTGGTCGATTGTTGTTAATTCTTCTGTAGCCACGTCAACTTCTTGAGCTACTGTTCTTACAAGTTCATCTTGGTCTACTGCTACAGCTTCAATGGACTGCAAAGTTGGAAGTTCTTGAATCACTCTGTTTTGATCATCAATGACCACAACAACTTCTTGCTGGTCATTTAAAGTAACAAATACTTTTTTAATGGATTCTTCAATCTCTTCGGAGACTTCTTTCAACAATTTGCTTGTTTCAGATTCACTTTGTGTCGCAAGTTTGATGGCTTCAGCTATGGCTTCCTCGTCCAGATTTTCTTTAGATCTTGGTCCGGTGGTTTTTTGCACTAGAAAAATTACAGATATTAGAGTATAATGTTGTTTTAAGTCAGTATTTAAAAGATTTAAGTTTAGTTTGGAATGTGAAATATGTGAAAATATGAATAAAATAGTATATTACGTTACTAGCCCGGTAAGTGGTGTTTTACCTTGCGACGCCTCTCACGTGATTTTCGTGCGAGTACAATAAAGCTTTCCGGGCGAGTAACATACCATACTTTACATCATACTGCACAGAAAAATTAGTACACTTTAAACTCATAACACAATTTATTTAAGACATAACAAAAATTATAATATTTTTATATTTTAGAAAATAAAATAGGCCATTGCAATTAGCTGTTTTTTTCATCAGCAGACTAAGCGCACGGTAAAAGCTCATGGTAAGCGCTGTAGTGTACAGTAAAAGTACATTACATTACTATTTTTATGTGTAGGCCCGTGCCGTCAAAGGGCAACTTTTCAGCCTAACAATACGGATGGAAAAGTACCTTTTTCTATGTCGTATGATGTAAAAAAACATAAATTAATATGTAGTCAGAAAAAGGGAGTAAACATACTAACCTTCCTGATGTGGTGTTTTACTTGTAGAATTTGTCTTCCTAATTTTGATAATCTCGACAGATTTCCCCAAAGATTTTACTTGAGTGGGCTTGTCTGAAAAAAAAGAAATGTTAGAAAAATGCAAAGGAAAAACTTGTTGACAAAATAAAACTTAATTTAAATGGATAAACTTATAATCTTATTTTATATTTTTTGGACGTTGATTACTCAATTAACTGTTTATTTGCAAACAAGTATAAACAAAATTGTGTGTCAAAACTATTTGAACCCAAACACAAAAATCAATAAGAAACAAAAATAAAAATCAATCAGTATTTGAGATAATTTATTGAGTAAAGAAATTCAATACTATATTCATACAATTTTTTTAAAGTAAAGTAAACTAAATAAAAAATACCATAATTAACAAACCCCTCATAATTAATAATTCTGAAATTTTATAAGTACCTTTCTGCAATTTGTCACATACTCTCAATTATCATGTTCACCAGACGACCTTACAGATCATGGAAAGAAAGACTTACGATACAAATCTTTTGTTTAGCCTCTAGGTTACAATAAAAAACATTTTTCAGAATACTCGAAACATTTATTTTAGCAATAAAATTTCCGATAATATACAAAATAAACATAGGAATAATCTTATAGTATAATTACTAGCAGTGCATTTAAAAAGTCAGCATCAAAATCATCTATCATTTAATCAAAACAAAACTTTCATAGTTGATATTGGAAAGGATTTAGCTGCTAAAGCTGGATATAGGTTAAAACATGAACATGAACTTTATTCACGAATATTGTTTTAACATAAAACAAAAAAAATACTTAAAAAATAATTTAAAATTTACAAAAGATATATAAAGAAACGTGTATTGTTAAGAAAAATTAGAGCCAAGGATACCAATTAAAAATTTACAAAAAATAAATTAAAAAACCCCACCGTAGCAAACCTGCAGACTATGCCAGCACTTGATAGACTAAACAGTTTAGAAATTACAGAAATAAAACCCAAAACAAAACACAAAAAAAACAAAACACAAAACAAACAAAACAGAGAGGGAAGATTTCGGTAAGCGAATGAAGTCAAGTAAGTAACCTATAACGTCATGCTTAAAGGTACTTTGATTTCTTAAGACTGTTGACCGGCAAAACACATATTTTTCAAGCGCCCCTTTTTTGAAGGCAAAACTCCCAGAAATCACCTCTTAAATGATGAAATACAATTTTTAAATAAGTATGCCACGAGTAAGTATAAGGTACGACATACTTCAATTAACAATTACGAGTTTAAGGTTAGTCTTCTTTAATCAAATTACATTTTTTAACTGAAGAGACACATTAGTTGGTTAAAAGAAGCTAAATTTAAACAATCAATAACTATAATTTGTATCAGTGGCAGCTTAGTTTTTTTTTTATTCAGTCAAAACAAACCTTAAAATTGTACAATTTAAAATATACATTGAACCTTTAAATACTGATAGAAGTTGACATCGGACATCCCATTTCCAAATTAAACCTGTTGCCAGTTTTAGACTAAAAATAGATAAGCCACCAACAGAAAATCATGATGTTAATTTCTCATTTTTGATGAGTAGGCCTACTTCAACTTATGAACCTTGCTTTGGAAGCACAGCTTATCGTAAAGTATGGCTTCTTTTTTGTCACATCATAATATCATAACCTCAAGGAGGAAATAGTATTTCAATGTTGATAAACTCTGCGAAAGGCTCATTCAATTATGTTCTTTTTTAACAATTGGCTGTAGATGGTACCTATGGATGGGATGTCTACTACATTAATCTAAAGCTAATATACATACATATCATACATAGATACCGATTCGAAAATATTAATATATCCATTTATGGTCTTGCGTAAGTCGAGGCCAGCAGTTATGTTTTCTTCCCACATGAACTCGCACAGCTATGGCAGATCTTGCTTTGTACCTGCAGAATGGACAATTGTGACTCGGGGCTTTCCCACAAATATAGCGTTGATGGCCAAGCAAAGATCCTCTGGTTTTGAAAAACTTGTTACACTTCTTGCACTTGAATTTTTCTTCGTCGTCATCAAACTCGTAGTCATTATCATGCCCAATAAAGCTTGGATCAATTTCAACTTCTTTGGAATCACTTGTAGAACTTTCCCCAGTTTCAGAGACTGAATTCATCATTTCCTGATCTAATTTAGTTTTCTGTTCTTTCCCAAACTTTTTTGGTATTTTCTGAATGCGCTTCTTAGTCTTTGTGATCACTTTTCGATCATCACTTGTTTTTAACTTGATTTCATCCGTTTGGACATTTTTCAAACGTATAGTTAATGGGATATCCTCATTTGCCTGAATACTGCCTAATGACATGCTTTTTTCAGGACTAGGTGTTTGGGTTTCATTTAAATTATGTCCAACCTCTTGGGAAGTTTCTGCACTTGTATGTAATCCCAATACGGATAAGAAACTCATGTTTTTCTCTGGACTACAAAGGGTTTGGGTTTGATTTAAATTATATTCCTCTAGGGAAGTTTCTGCCCGTGTATGTAAGCCCTCTACAGACAAGAAACGTTCAGCTTTTTTATTCTCAACATCCAAATTTGTCAATTCAATTGTTGTGCTATGTTCTATCACTTTAGTTGAACAGCTTGGTATATCCTCTATAGGTGTTACTAAAGATTTTGAGTTTTCAGAACTATTAAGAACTACAACAGTTATTCCCATTTTACTTTTCACAAATTCATTGTTGGATATCAGCTCTGAAATTGGCAGGTTCTGTGCAATCACTTCGGTTGACTTTTCTGTCCCCGTATTTACAGCACTCGATTCTGAAACAATAAATGACAAGTAAATATCAAAATATTTTTTTCTGTGAATTATTTTTGATTACAATTTAGTATTAACATTAAAATACTGTACTATACACATAAAAGAAGTACAGTTTGACTTATTCAGCTACCATGTTCAGACATACAACTTTAAATATTTAGTATTCTATTCTAAGTGTAAGAGAGACAATTTACAACATTGACATTAGAGAAACCTAATAGGACATTGACAGTTCCCTTGAACACATCAATCTTAACTTATGCACCTTCAAGAGTAAAACACTTATTAAGTAACTTAACTTAAAATGTAGCTTATTACGGTGAAAGACAAAAATAATAATTTATTTTGTATGCGAAGAAATGTAGATTAATCAGTTGACCTCTCCATTTTTGTCAAATCATAATATGTAAAATTAACACAGTAATATGAACATATTTTTCCATTTTAAAATCAGAGTAAATGGCAGAGTAATCAAATTATATTTTTTCCAAACAATAAAATAAGATAACTGAAAGAAATTTCAAAGATGGCAAAGAAAAAACGATTTTGAATACATTTACCATTTTTCATGAGTCAACTTCAACCTTTGGCTATTAATACAACTTAGTATAATAAATACAATATTATTAATACAATTAATTCTTCAGTATCCAATAGTCAATGCTTCAACCCAACTTGTCAAATTCTCCAGCTTATAAAACTAATTAAACTCATTCGGACTCAATTAGTTGTTATTTAATGTCAACTGAACTGAATGTTACTGAACCATTCATGTCATAAAAACGTTAAGTAAAAACTGTTCAAGGGAAAAATATTGACCAGTCACTACTAAAAAACTGTATTTCAGTGTTAAAAGTTATAAACTGTTTTAAAACTATAACCTAAAATAAAGTAGAATCTATAACAAATTTATTGTCATGTTCCTATTCATTGCATTGAAAATAGATTGTCAGCTTTCTATGTAAATACTAAACTCATAACCAAATTTAAATTAAACTTGTGCGAACAATGATGCAAATTATTTTTTCACTTTAGACTGTACATGAATGTTGGGATTTCGACAAATATAGCGCTGATGTATATCCCAAGAACTTTTGTACACAAACAACCTTTTACAAACATTACACTTTATTTTTTCTGGAAATTTATCATCGGATGACTGTGATTTTTCTTTTGAGGATGAACCATTCTCGGATGCGACAGGTCCGAATATATCACTACGGACTGATATTTTCTGGCTATCTTCTTGTAAGTATTCAACGTTCTCCTCCTTTACAAGGACTTCAAGCATATCTTCGACCCCATCAGAAACAGATTCTTGTGATCCAATGCTTTTCGGGTGATTTTCTTCAACATTTGAGTTGTTTTCTGTTGAATTATGTGATGTGTCTGAAATTGAAAATGTCATTAAGTGCATTGTGAGTGAGTGATACGTTGGTTGCTGATTCTTGGATCTTTGATAAATCTACATAAAATAATATACTTGACTGATCAATAAATTAAATTTTAAGGATGTACTATTGATTAAAAACTTAACTAAGACTAAAATTTCTACATAAAATTAAAACTTTAAATACAATTCGAATAGTTTAAAGGTGTGATCTAATAAAGATAGTAAATTATTTACTTAAAGTATACTATTATAAGTCATAAATAGTGTACGGTAAACTAAAAGTTATTATTCAATTTAAATTGAAGATGTAAATATAATTTGTTTTGTTTTGTCAGACAACTAATATTTTATTATATTAATTAATTTTAGACAATGGGATTCAAAACTATGCCATGAATAAAAAAAACATTTTAGAAAAAGAGTCAAAAGGTTAAGTCCGGGGATACATGGAAACTAAAATACTATCATGGTTTGTTATACTAGTGCATTCTAAAGAAAATATTTTAAATGGCTAATATGCTGGTTGCCTGTAATTGAGTGTAAAATAAATGGTTACCAAAGTCAGTTTGATAAGTCTGACATCCTATAAGACATATTATAATAACTTTGAGGGAACAGGCTGCCTAATATTTTAAGCTGAATGAATGCAATGTGAGTGTAAAAAGTTTGAAATCCTAATGATGACTTACATTTATTTGATATTTTTACTAGCCTTTATAATCTGCATTATGAGGTGTATAAAAAATGAGTTTACTTACTTGCCATTTAAAAAAAAAAATTGCTTAGTATATTCAATATTTAGGCAAAAAAGCTGAAAGGTAAATTGTGCAGGTTGGTATTTAGAATATTATGGCAAAAAATCTTTATTTTGAACTCCATGCA